TTTCCCAATAAAATCTACAGCATTTTGTAATCAGTGTGTGTGGATACAAAATGACTTCATAGAGATTTTTCTGTTATGCTTTTTTTTTTTTTTTTGCTGCTATTTTCATTTATTTAAGTTTTCACAAGGCGGAAATGCAATGCATCAAGCCACTTTCTTTTTGAAGACATAAATGCACAATAATTAGGGACCAAGAGAGTTTTAAGATGCACAGGATTAGCCCCACAATAATGCAAGCTCACATCTGCAGCCAGTCTAAAAATGTCACACAGACCTAATTTTGCGTTAATGCAAATGTAATTTGTTTCCTAGCATTTACACGTGGAAATAAATTGGTGACTATGTTTAATTCATTTGCTATTTAGTCTTTATTTTAGCTTTTTCAACTAGGATACTGGGAAAATAATATACCTATGCTATTGTAAATTTGTGCTTTACAGCTACAACAGTATTTCAATCTTACCTAGTGATTCTTCTGGTTCTCTCTAAAGCCCAATTTTCTCTCTTGTGTTCATAAATGTATATGCAATTGATTTTTGAATACTTATGCTGGAAAAATCACTTAGGTACTCTTCAGATTCAGTATATGTATAAGTGATTAGGACATCCCTCCGTCCCTTGCCTTCATGTTTCTCTACCTGGTCCTCCTGGGTTTCTTTCTCTTTCCTTAGGTCAAAAGCCTTTAACACCTTGTAAGTCTACTATTTTAATATTTCTGGATTCCACCAGCCTTGTTATATTTCTCTTGGCACTGTACTAATCAATCATTGCTATCATTTCACTAGATTAGCACTATCATCTCCTCCATAAGTGGGTCATCTCTTATAATTGTACTCACTGGTGTGTTCCTCACCCTGCTACTAGACTAATATCAAAATACAGTAAGTCCTCACTTAACATTGTTGATAGATTCTTGGAAATTGCTACCCAAGAGAAGCAACCTACAGCAGGTCCTTAAATAACGTTGTTTTCTTTAGTATCTTTTCGTTACGTTGATGAAAAAAATTGGTTTTGTTATATGTTGTTTCGCTTAGTCACAGTTTCCGAGAAGGTATGGATGATATTAAGTGAGGACTTACTGTAAAACCTTCCCTGTTAACCCCTACATGAAATCTTCAAGAGGCTTTCCATAGCCTTCAGATGAAACGTGAGCTCCTTTACTGACAATGTCTGCCCTTTGTTGATAATAATCTCTTTCTAAATCAAGAGCTTATCTTCCGTCATAATTCCTTTTTCTTCTATGATTAGAAAACTCTACTTCTCTCACTTCCTCAACAATATACAGTGTCGAACTCACCTCAAAATCTTTAGACAGATGCCTTCTTCTTGTAC